CCCCAAAACCCCAAAACCCCAAAACCCCAAAACCCCAAAACCCCGACTCTCTAGTTTAAGGTTGAAGAAGAATATTTTATTTAAACAAGGAAAGTTTTTGAGCCTAGGCCGCTCTGAGTTAGCAATTCTTTGACGTATCCTCTCTCAAGTCCACAGTTTCTGAAGTCAATTACTCTGAGAGTTTGGGCCAGGTCTTCAGAAGTACCGAGACCGTGTACTAAGTGTTTGAAATCATTGGGATTAGCTTCCCAATTACTTCAGTTAAGTGACCCTGACAGATAAAAACTTAGCTTCTCCATTTTAGTGTTTCTAAGGGCTGTAGATAAATCTAGAGGATTCGGAATAGAGAGATTGCACCTCCGGAAAGTCAATTTGTGCACATGTCTGAATGCTGCAATCAGTCTTTTGAATTGGGATTTACCAAATGAAAATTGATCAAAGCAAGCACTAGTTCAAATTTTTGAGCTTCATTTTATGACAGATTTAAAAATATCGAACTTAATCAGCTTTATGACGTGCATGCAATAAACATTGAGATTGTGAACACTATCTGGGAATGAAGAGTTCAGAAAAGTATGAAAATGCTTAATCGACTTTTCAATATTTTTCATATTAAAATCTCCGATATCAAATAATTTGAGAGATCTACATTTTTGTGCAACCTTGCCATCTCTATATTTATCACAGCAAATATTGAATTCTTCTCCCTCAGAGTCGCCCCCATACAGAGAATGAAAAGTTGGCTGGTTTGGTTCTGTAGAGTAAACAACAAAGTAAAAATCAGTCCATCTGATGGAGTCTAATTCCTTGCTGATTGAATGAATGAGCTTCTCTTGGCTAAATCAATTTACAGATTGGTGATGGACAAATATTCATGGATCAATTTCGGAAATCATAAAGGAAGAATAAATGGAAATATGTTTTTGATTAAACAATCTGAGTCGTCCGGATGAATTTTAGCAGGGGAATAAGGTTTAATGATAATCCAAGGGCCTTGGTACGAAGATTTTAAATTTTCAACACTATCTTATTGCTAAGGATATCTAAAGCTTATGATATGTGTTCTGAAGATAAATTCAACGGTTTGATATTATAGTTTTGAATTCAAATTCTTTAAACCATTAAATGCATGAGTAATTAATTGTTTTTGCTAAATTTTTAATCATAAAATCTATTAGCTCTTATCATACCACGAGAATCGACAACAACACTAAAATAAGCGCATGTATTCATGGATAAACAATACCTGACACATTTAATATCTCCTTTATCCAAACATTTAAAATTCTGCCACTTCTTGGTTGGCTTACACTTAAGCTTACCTTCTAACTTCGGTAATTCTTTGAGAAAGAGTCTGAGTTTCTTCCATTTTATTTTAAAATTATATTGCTCCAACCTCCTCTGTCATGACTGGGGTTTTGGGGTTTTGGGGTTTTGGGGTTTTGGGG